ATCGCATTTATGTAATACAAGCATGCGAATCCCTGTGCTTGCGCTCCTCGTGCACAAAACTTCTCGCACGCTGTCTAAAATTTACGTTGCTGAAGTGCAGATCTTCTTGTGCGCTCTCAAATAAAATGAAGTGTGATTTAGTGTGTTTTTGTAACTCGTATGTCTCCAGCATTTATTAGATTTGCTAGGAATATTTATCAATGTCTCCAAAATACCTACAGAGTGATATTAATGCGTCCTGAAATGAGTGAAACGGCTATAAACTCCAGCAAGGTAAAGTCATTAGCCGCGTTTCCACTATCGCGCCTAAAGCGAGCGAGCCAGGGCGAGCCAAGGCCAGTGGGGTTTCCACTGTCACTTCCGGGGCCTAATCGGGCCAAAGCGGGGCTTTCTTGGGGCCAGCGGCCGGCCTTTTTCGGCCCGCCGAATACCTTGGGCCAAGGAGGGCCAGCTGGGGCTTCGGGGCGGAGTGAAAGAAGAGGCGGGCACAGTTTTCCGATCGCACATGAGTACATGCGCCAAACAAATAAAGAAATAAGGGAAAGAAAACCTCTAGCCTTATAGTCTGGGGTCTTTTTGCGTAGGATCACCCTTATGTTTCCCTTTTAAATGTAAGGCTGCTGCATAAAATAATAAAGTAGTTTTAGTTTATAGTGACGTTTTTTGCTGCGTCCTCCTTTATGTTTCAATAACGCATAATAAGCTTTACACCATAAAGACACAGCAGACAGTAAAGGTTTACGAGAGTTTTTGTCAAGTTTAAAATGTTTGTTTGTGCGCGTTTAATAACAGTATGTGTGTGAGAGACCGGGCAAAAGCGCTCCTTCACAGCTCTGTTATGCCGCGAGCGGCTTTTTTCTTTATTTATTTTGGAGATAATGCACAATATAAATACAACAGAAGGACATAAAACTTAACAAAATACGTGCCCACTTTCGTAGACTTTAAACAATATAGTGTCATATCTTGATAAAATAGCCTAAGCTTTAATGAAATATAATTTAAAGAATTACAAATATCGGATAAATATAAAATCACATTAAATAAATAAACCAATATAAAATAAACAAAAGCTAGCTATATGTAGGTAGCCTATATACAATACATAAATCGAACCGTTTTAAAGCCACATATAGTATAGCCTATAGCTTACATTTTACAAAGACCTGTCTGAAAAAAAAAGATTTTCGATATTTTATAAAAACAATTAACACCGGAGAAGGTTTGAAATATTATTTATAAAGTATTTGGATGCGATGATATTAATCAAATCGCGCAAACAGAGCATTATCTGGGTGAGTGAAAGCAGAATCTAGCCTATACCTTTTTTTCTGTCACTCAGTCCTGCGCAGCGCTCGCTGCTTTAAACGCATTGGGGGAAAGCCCACACACAAAATGTGTTCTATATACTCAAACAACTGTTTATGTTTTAATATGACGTGGTTAAATTTATAAATGAAACTTTAAATAAAGAGCTTTAGTGAATAGCTGCCGAGCGCAACAAATATGGCTATATTTTATAAGACTACTCGCTCTTATGCTCAAACACTTAACACGACTTCTATCAAAACGAGGATGTTATAAAATACATGCCATATCGAGTCATAAGCCATTTCTGTGGCTTTATATTATGGATGTGTGCGCTCTCTGTGATGGGTCCCTGCGTTCGGCGAGAGCAGTCGATGCACAATGCCAGTTGGTCGGCGAGTAAACAAATGTAATGAATGGAAATACACAGGTCTGTGCGTATAGACATTTCATGTACTGCTGTACAGTAACGTGTCATTTGTTTGTTTCGGTTGTCTTCATTTTAATGGTTTCGTTTCGTGATGATTCCATGGTGTGCTTTATCTGCCTGTCCTGATTCCCACTGAAGTGGGCGGGTTGTGTGACGTTTGATTCGGGGACGTTCTGTGGGCGGTGTTTGCTTGACGCGCTGTGAGCTATTAGCCCGTCAGTGGAAACGCGACATGATTTCGGCCTCATTTCTCAACCTCCCGGGCTATTGGCCCGGCCCGGCCCGGCCCGATTAAAGCCCTGGCTCGCACTGGCCCGATAGTGGAAATGCGGCTATTATATGCAGAGCCACAGACCTTCATCTTGTTCCATCTAGAATCCACTCTTGCAATACTGCGCTCACGACATTTGTCATTGAAATAACGCCACAGGTAGTTGGTAGATCGGTGTAAAAAAAGGCCTGCTGCCACAGCTGGAAAACATCCTAGAGGAAACACTGGAATGAATATCACTCCTCCAAAATTACCCGCACTCATTGTCATATATCGCGCAATAAGTCAATATATCCACTATTGCACCAGGCCTAATGAGCACTTTCTAATTTATTGACACATCCAAGTATTTTTTTAACATTTATTTATAAATTTTTTTGTATATTTAGAAAGTAAATTGTAATTGATTTTATAGTATTTTAAAAAATTTATTAAATTAAGAAAATGCTTCATATATAATTGTCTCAAAATATAGAAAAAACTCTATTGACAAATATAAATTCATATGACGAGGCGTAATCTTAACAAATATCAAAAATTGCAATAGTCAGATAGTTTGTAAATGTGGCATATTTATGCATGTATATAAAAATAGTAAAGCAATTAGGCCATATTAATCAGACACCTGTAACAAGCTGAACTGTTATGAGTTCATGCTGTCATAGAGCATCATAATACAGAGTATATATTGGGTGGTACGGGGGCTCAGTGGTTAGCATTGTGGCCTCACAGCAAGAAGGTTGCTGGTTTGAGTCCCGGCTGGGTCAGCTGGTGTTTCTGTGTGGAGTTTGCATGTTCTCCCCGTGTTGGCGTGGGTTTCCTCTGGGTTTCCTCTCCGGTTTCCCACACAGTCCAAACACATGCGCTACAGGGGAACTGATTAACTAAACTGGCCGTAGTGTATGAGTGTGTGAGAATTAGTGTGTATGGGTGTTTCCCAGTACTGGGTTGCAGCTGGAAGGGCATCCGGTGTGTAAAACATATGCTGGAATAGTTGTCAGTTCATCCCGCTTTGGCGACCACTGATGAATGAAGCGACTGAACCGAAGGAAAATGAATGAATGAATGCTCTAATATTAACTTGCCAAACCTCTGCTGTGTTTTCTTTGACTGTAAGGAAGCGAGTGTCTGTCTTCTCCTCAAAGCGTGCTCTTTGTGTAGTGAGCGCTGTGATTAGGGAGGGTTTTGTGTTGTTTTCTGCACACCTGTGTGACTCAGGAAGTGATGCGGATCTGCTGAATGACACTCAAACCCGTCTCCGTCAAAAGCAGAGCTCAGTCTTTTGTAGGCGCTCATACTTCTGAAATACCTGCGCTTTGTTAACAGCACAGAGGATTCATCTCACACCCACGTCTGAATGCTTTAAATAACCCCGCAAAACCTCACTGAAGATGACCTTTATATGCCAGGAGATCACAGCCGTCTCTCTGCGGTTAGGCTTTCAAGTGTCATTTAATTTTTGATCTGATGTTACTATCTTATTTTTATTTTATCTTCATTAATTGTACATTTATAATTTATTTTATTTTATTCATCATTATTTATATGTACAGTTAAAGTCTGAATTATTCGCCCCCCTGTTTGTTTTTTTCCTTAATTTCTGTTTAACAGAGAGCAGATTTCTTCAGCACATTTCTAATCATAATAGTGTTAATAACTCATCTCTAATAACTGATTTATTTCCTCTTTGTCATGATGACAGTAAATAATATTAGACTAGATATTCTTCAAGACACTTCTATACAGCTTAAAGTGACATGTAAAGGCTTCACTAGGTTAGATAATTTAACCAGCCTGGTTAGGGTAATTAGGCAAGTTATTGTATAATGATGGTTTGTTCTGGAGACTATCGAGAAAAAAAGCCTAAAGAGGCTAATAATTTTGTCCTTAAAATGGTGTTTAAAAAATTAATAACAGCTTTTATTCTAGCCGAAATAAAACAAATCAGACTTTCTCCAGAAGAACAAATATTATCAGACACACTGTGAGTGTGAACATTTCCTGAATCTGTTAAACATCATTTGGGAAATATTTGAAAAAGAAATAAAAATCATGGGTTGCGGCTGGAAGGGCATCTGCTGCGTAAAAAAACTTGCTGGATAAGTTGGTGGTTCATTCCGCTGTGGCGACCCCGGATTAATAAAGGGACTAAGCCGACAAGAAAATGAATGAATGAATAAAAAATCAGAGGGCGGCTAATAATTCTGACTTCAATTGTATACACACACACTCACGCTCACACACACACACACACATTTTTTGTATTTATTTTTTATTATATTTTACACTTATTTGAATGCTTGAAATTACTTCAAAAACCTTTTAAGAACATATTTAACCTTGCTGTTTATTTACTCTAGTATATTTAATATTTTGATTTACTGGTTGTTTTTATTAACTTAGTTCTGTTTATAATTCTGGTTTATATTTTTACATTTGTTTTCTGCTTTATCATTATATTGTTTTTTTTAATTATCATTTCTTAGTCTCATTTTTTCCAGTATTAGTAATCTTCAACTATATATAATAATTAATATATGATTATGATACTAGTTTACTATGCTTTACTATGTTTACTATACTTTAGTATTACTATGATATTAAACGACCTTCTTTCCAGTTTTCATTTTTGTAGTTTAGATGTATGTTTTGATAGATTTAATAATCTGTAAAAAATATATTTTATGTATTTGTTACAGGTGAATACATAGGCTTATATAGATATATAGATATATATAGATATATAAAGATATATATTTATTTTTTAAGTATTTTTAAACCATTTAAGTAAAAGTATTTTTTTAATTTTAGGTTTTTCAGTTTTGCACTTCAACTCATTTAATTTCAAATGTTTTCTTTTTTTCTTTCACTATTTATTTCTTTATTTTGTTTATTTATTTTATTTTAATATTACTTTGTTAATAAACGTCTGCTTAATTATTAATAGAAGTGATAATGTATTTTATTTCTCTGATGATGATATTGTCTCCACAGGTAGGATGTCGTGAAGTGGTGGCTTGTGTCTTGAGTTGGCGCTGCGTCTGGAGCTAATGGAAGCTGCTGATCCATCATGAGTTGTCATGATGTGGGTGGACGCCGTCGTTTCGAGGACTCGGAGTTCACCTTACGAGTGTATCCCGGATCTCTGTCTGAGAGCACCATTTACTGTCCGGTCAGCGCTCGCAAGGTCACAACCGCCGCCGAGGTGATCGAACGGGTCATCGAGCGGCTGCAGCTCGACCGCACACGGCTCTACGTGCTTGCAGAGGTAAACTTCATAAACACACACACACACACACACACACACACACACACACGTACATTACTGATGGCATGGGTTACTAGTTACTAGTCTAGACTAATTTTAACACCAGATGGTGCTCTAGGCTAGTTTTAACCGCAGATGGCGCTCTAGACTAATTTTAACAGCAGATGGTGCTCTAGGCTAGTTTTTAACTGCAGATGGCGGTCCTCTAGACAAGTTTTTAACAGCAGATGGTGCTCTAGACTAGTTTTAACAGCAGATGGCGCTCTAGAATAGTTTTTAACAGCAGATGGCGCTCTAGACTAGTTTTAACAGCAGATGGCGCTCTAGAATAGTTTTTAACAGCAGATGGCGCTCTAGACTAGTATTTAACAGCAGATGGTGCTCTATACTAGTTTTTAGCAGCAGATGGTGCTCTAGGCAAGGTTTTAACAGCAGATGGCGCTCTAGTTTTTGACAGCAGAGGGCGCTCTAGGCTAGTTTTTTAAAAGCTGACAGTGCTCTAAGATAGTTTTTAACAGCAGATGGTGGTTTAGACTCGTTTTTAACAGCAGATGGTGGTTTAGACTCGGTTTTAACAGCAGATGGTGCTCTAGGCTAGTTTTTAACAGCAGACGGCGCTCGAGACTAGGTTTTAACAGCAGATGATGGTTTAGACTCGTTTTTAACAGTAGATGGTGCTCTAGGCTAGCCTTCAACAGCAGATGGCACTGTTTATTTATGATTATTTTAGCCATCTATTATTGAAAAATAAGCAATAATTCCAGGAACAATTTGATTAATTTAATTTATTAATTTTTTTCTTTTATTCCAGCTAAAAAATAGTTTTTATTCTAGCCAATCAGATTAAATAATTTTACAGGAGGGCTGATAATTTAGTTTTTCGGCTGTATATATGTAAGTTTGTTGTCTAATATTATGTGTTCAAGGTCAAGGAGTTTGGTGGTGAGGAGTGGATCCTGAACCCGAGCGACTGTCCTGCGCAGCGCATGATGCTGTGGCCACGGATGGCTCTGGAGAACCGGCTGCTGGGTGAGGATTACCGCTTCCTCCTGCGAGAGAAGAACCTGGACGGCTCCATCCACTATGGCAGCCTGCAGATGTGGCTGCGCGTGACGGAGGAGCGGCGGCGGATGGTGGAGCGCGGTCTCCTGCCTCAGCCACCCGCTGCTCAGTTCGTGGCGGATCTGTGCTCGCTGCCTGACCTGAACGAACACACGATGCTGGAAAACCTGCGTGGTCGCTTCCGGCAGGAGAACATCTACACATACGTTGGCTCCATCCTGATCGCCGTCAACCCTTTTAAATTCCTGCCCATTTATAATCCCAAATATGTCAAGATGTATGATAAGCACCGGCTCGGGCAGCTGGAGCCGCACATCTTCGCAGTGGCGGACGCAGCGTATCACGCTATGCTGCAGCGGCACAGGAATCAGTGCATAGTGATCTCTGGAGAAAGTGGATCGGGGAAAACACAGAGCACAAACTTCCTCATCCACCACCTCACGGCGCTCAGCCAGAAGGGATTCGCTAGCGGCGTCGAGCAGATCATCCTTGGGGCCGGACCCGTGCTAGAGGTACAGATTGACTGTTTCTGAACCGTAAATATCTGCACTTATTGCTCATGTTTGCAGTGCTGGGGAGTTGAATTAGTCAGCATGGATAAGTTCTCATTTTTCAGCTTAGTTCTGAAGGCGAAACTCATGAATAATAAACAATTTGTGGTGCAAAATGTATTATGTATCGATTTTGAGATTTGCAAAATGCATCTCTATTCTCTTTTGCGTCTATTCCGAGTCAGACTGCTAGTTTTCAACTGCAGATGGTGCTCTAGCCTAGTATTGAAAAGCAAATGGTGCTCTATGCAAGTTTTGTACAGCGAGTGGTGCTCCAGGCTAGTTTTGAACAGCAGATGATGCTCTAGGTTAGTTTTGAACAGCAGATGGTGCTCTAGGCTAGTTTTGAACAGTAAATGGCGCTCTAGGCTAGTTTTGAACAGCAGATGGTGCTCTAGGTTAGTTTTGAACAGCAGATGGTGCTCTAGGCTAGTTTTGAACAGTAAATGGCGCTCTAGGCTAGTTTTGAACAGCAGATAATGCTCTAGGTTAGTTTTGAACAGCAGATTTAGCTCTAGGTTAGTTTTGAACAGCAGATGGTGCTCTAGGTAGTTTTGAACAGAAGATGGTGCTCTAGGCTAGTTTTGAACAGCAGATGGTGCTCTAGGTAGTTTTGAACAGAAGATGGTGCTCTAGGCTAGTTTTGAACAGCAGATGGTGCTCTAGGCTAGTTTTGAACAGCAGATAATGCTCTAGGTTAGTTTTGAACAGCAGATGGTGCTCTAGGTTAGTTTTGAACAGCAAATGGTGCTCTAGGCTAGTTTTGAACAGTGGACGGCGCTCTAGGCTAGTAGTTTTGAACAGCAGATGGTGCTCTAGGCTAGTTTTGAACAGTGGACGGCGCTCTAGGCTAGTTTTGAAAAGCAGATAATGCTCTAGGCTAGTTTTGAACAACAGATGGTGCTCTAGGCTAATTTTGAACGGCAGATGGTGCTCTAGGTTAGTTTTTAACAGCAGATGGTGCTCTAGGTTAGTAGTTTAGAACACCAGACGGTGCGCTAGGCTAGATTTGAAAAGCAGATGATGCTCTAGGCTGGTTTTGAACAACAGATGGCGTTCTAGGCTAGTTGTTTTGAAAAGCAGATGGTGCTCTAGGCTAGTTTTGAACAACAGTAGGCGCTCTAGGTTAGTAGTTTAGAACAACAGATGGCACTCTAGGCTAGATTTGAAAAGCAGATGACACTCTAGGCCAGTTTTGAACAGCAGATGGTGCTCTAGGCTAGTTTTGAACAACAGTAGGTGCTCTAGGTTAATAGTTTAGAACAACAGACGGCGCTCTAGGCTACATTTGAAAAGCAGATGACACTCTAGGCCAGTTTTGAACAGTGGATGGCGCTCTAGGCTAGTAGTTTTGAACAGCATATGGTGCCCTAGGCTAGTTTTGAACAGTGGACGACGCTCTAGGCTAGTAGTTTTGAACAGCAGTTGGTGCTCTAGGCTAGTTTTGAACAGTGGACGGCGCTCTAGGCTAGTAGTTTTGAACAGCAGTTGGTGCTCTAGGCTAGTTTTGAACAGTGGACGGCGCTCTAGGCTAGTAGTTTGAACAGCAGATGGGCTCTA